AAAAAAAAATGAGGCGGGTGAACAGTAAAAACGCTCACTGGAAATTGCCTTTCCTGCCGGACGGATTTTACGAAAATGGGCATAACTTCTTCGTCCGAACTCCGAATGAGATGAAACGAAGTGCGTAAGGTAACTAACTAAAAGGGCTTTCCATGGATATATTATTGGCCACACAAATAATTTGTGTGCTAGGAGATATGACCCTCCAAAGTAGACCCTCGAAAAAGGCTTCACTTGGAAATTTCGGATTTTGATACGGTTGCTCTAAAATTTGGGTTAGACCCATTTCCCACTCAATTTGACCCCCTAAACAAGAATATGAAGTCGGATTTTCGAAAAACGAAATGGATCTTTTTATATACAGCTAAACAAGTTTCCGGTAACTTCCGAAGCACATTTTAAAGAACTTTTTGGGTCAAATTCAAATATAATCATTTCATTAAGTTTTCGACTCCAAACTCATATGTGAGGCTCTAGTTTCACTCTATCATTTTCCGAGTCGTTACATTCTTGATCTTCCTTCTTCGGAAATTTGCCATTTCAAGTATATCTAATTGATAATAGGCTCTAGTTTCCTTTGGTAATTGGTGTATTCTGAGGTATATCTGTGGATTAGTAATTTTGTGGCTATACTTTGAAAGAGAGTCAGCCACAAAATTTGCTTCTCGGAAGGTGTGTTTGCATTTGAACTCATGTGTTTGTCTTGTAAGGGCCTTCAGTTTCAGAAGTTGTGTGTTAATGCTCCAATGGGGGTTGGCTTTGTTCTCTATACAATCTACCAAGAGTTGTGAGTCCATCTCCAAAATGACCTTCCTGTATCCTAGCTCTAGTGACCAGGTCATCCCAAAAAGAGCTGCTGCCACCTCTGCTTGATGATTAGAACCTTCCCCCAAAGGAGTTGCAAAAGCTAGCAACATTTCTCCAAATTGGTCTCTTATGATGCCTCCAGCTCCAATTTTGCCGGGATTCCCTAAGGCACTGCCATCAGTGTTAATTTTAACCCAGTCATCTAGAGGTTTGATCCACTTGACCACGATTACTTTTGTGTCATGAGAGCATTTTCCCCCCAGCTGAATCAGCTCCCCCCAGCGTGAAGGCCATTTGATATGAGGAAAACATGTCGTCATTAATTTGTAATTGTCCTTGTAGACTGCATATTTGACCCTACTAATGTTTGATTGTTTCCCTCCATGTTTGCTGGCACATCTATTTTTCCAGAGGTTCCAACAAATGAAAATTGGTGTAGCTTGCAATAGCAGCCTGTGTGCTTCGTTGTTGGACTTAGCTGACCACCATTGCATGATGAGTTGGGGTAAGGAGCTGTGATGTGTGATGATTCCCGCTGGTGTAGCAAAGCTCTTCCATACGTTGGTAGCAAAATCTCCATTATTGAAGGTGTGCTCTATAGTGTCCAAACCTTGCCTGTTACAACAACAAAAACAATTGGTACGCTCATTGCCAAAGCTTGTTAGTTTTTCGTTAGAAGGAAATTTACCACGTAAAACTCTCTACAAAAGAAAAGAACTTTTAAAGGGGATACTCTTACGCCAAACAAGGGAGTTGAAGTTAGTCTTGTTCCTCTTCTCCCTGATCACGTTCCATGCAGAGGAGCAGCTGAAGTTGCCATCACTGTTAGGTTTCCAAACAACTTGGTCTGGGATGCCCTGCTGAATGTAGAGTTCTGTGGCTAGGATGTTGGCAAGCTGATTGTTAGGGGCCTGTTGCAGGGGCATGTTCAGGTTCCATTGTCCCTCGAGCAAAAATTCTGCTACAGTGATCTGGTTGAACCTGTTACTGCCAGTGGACTGGTACGCCAGAGGTCCCACTCCAAGCCAATTGTCCCACCAAAAGGAACAATTGCCTGAGTTTAGTTTCCAATGAATATGTTCCTCAACTTTATGTTTGTTGTGCATCATGTGTTTCCATGTCAAAGACTCTCCTATATCCCATTTTTTACTAATAAGATTAGACCGTTGACAATATTTGGCTTTCAAAAAAACCCCCACAGGGTATGTTTGGATCTGAAAATCCACCATTGTTTGTACTGAAAGGACTTGCAGACATCCTTAAGATTCCTCATCCGTACACCCCCCTCATCATAAGGAAAGCTTAGATTTTTCCACGAAGCCCAATGGTATTTTTTCTTCTCATTCCTCCATCCCCAATAGAAGTCTGTCATGATGCTCTGGGTCTATTTTAGGACAGTACTAGGGGGGGTTATAGCTGCTAGCAGGTGAATAGGAAGAGATTGCAACACATGCTTAACTAGAATTGCTCTACCACCATAGCTTAACAATTTAGTGTGCCAACCTGTGATCCTGCAAAGCACTTTGTTAATAAGATCAGAAAAGTAAATAATCCTAGGTCTACCAACAAATAGAGGACAGCCAAGGTAAGTGATAGGGCCCTTCTTTTGTCTAAAGCCAGTGATCCTTTTAATTCTGTCTATCGTGCTGTTGAAGGCATTAGGATGGACCATAAAGTGGCTTTTATCAGAGGTCTCCTCATATAAGTTCAAGGTTTGCATAATAAGTTTCAGAGTTTTTTGTCTCCCCGAAGTGAATAGAATAATATCATCTGCGAAACTTAAATGATTAACTTGAGGGCCTCTGGGTTCCATCACAAAACCATGGTAGTCAGGATTACTATGGAGTCTGTTCAGGGATCTAGAAAGGACCTCCGCACCTAAAATAAATAGGGCAGGAGATAAAGGATCGCCTTGCTTCAAACCTCTGGTGGAGTGGAAGAAACCATGTCTTTTGCCATTGACAATAATAGAATACCAATTGTTGGCCATGATCCTCCAAACCATATCAATAAATATCTCATGAAATCCCATTTTTCTCAACACCAAGCATATATAAGACCAAGAGACCCTATCATACGCTTTTGCCATGTCAAGTTTAATAATGACATTGCTACCAATATTTGGTTTCCTGATCTGATGAATGATCTCTTGAGCCAGCATAATATTTTCTGATATACTTCTCCCCTTGACGAACCCAGACTGATTAAGAGAAATCAGGTTAGGTAGAATAGGACCCAGTCTAAAGCTCACTAGTTTAGAAATGATCTTACTAGTGAAGTTGCTTAGACTGATGGGTCTGAACTCTGTCAGCTTGTTGGGATTGCTTACTTTAGGAAGAAGAACTATACAGGAGTGAGAAAAATATTTAGGAATCATTTGTCCACGAAAGAAGGCATGAATGACACCAAGAAGATCATGTTTGATAATATGCCAACATTTCTGAAAGAATAAACCATTCATCCCGTCCGGACTAGCTGCAGAGTTAGGATTCATGGAGAACACAACTTCCTTCAATTCTTCCAGGTTAGGCACGGCAGTAAGGGTATTATTGTGCTCTTGACTGACCATTCTGGGAATACCATTGATGACCTCCTCATTGATAACCTTATCCCCTCCTGTAAAGATATTTTGGAAGTGGGCACAAGCAGCTTCAGCAATATTGTCATCTCCCTGTATCCTTTCTCCATCCTCTCCGATAATGGTATGAATAAACAGTCTTCTTCTTCTTCCCCTTATCAGTGAATGGAAATATTTTGTATTTGCATCACCTTCTTTAAACCAATGTAATTGAGTTTTTTGTTTCAAATTGGAATCCTCCATTTTCAGAAACCTGATGTACTCGGCATTCAGTTTGTGAAGGTCTGTCCTGTTGGTCTCACTATGTGTATGAATGAGGTTTTCCTCAGCAGCCCTGACCTTCTCTTCATACTCCTTGACTTTAATGAAAATATCACCAAATTCCCCCCTAGACCAAGAGCTAAGGGTGTTGGATAACCTTTTCAATTTTTGATGAAACTTCCACATGTTATTCCCTTCTACAGGTCTGTCCCAACAGGCTTTAACAATGTCATTGAAATTAGGTTGGTCTGTCCAGCAGTTGAGAAATTTAAAGTACTTGATGTGGTCCTCTTCTCTAGATATCATTTCCATCAATAGGGGGCAGTGATCAGAACCTACAGAAGGGAGATGAGTGATGGTGGTTTGGGGCATTTTCTCCAGCCAAGAGTCATTTACCATAGCTCTGTCTAGTCTTTTCCATACCCTGCTGTGTATACCCCTTTTGTTAGACCATGTAAACTTCTGACCACTGAAGCCGAGGTCCATCAGACCACACGCTTCAATTATGGCTATGAACTCCAAACTCTTCCTCATGTTGTAGGGAACCCCTCCCAGCTTCTCATCCATGGAAGTGATAACATTATAATCACCAACTGCACACCAAGGAGAATTGGCTGTAACATTAGCCTGTTGTAACATTCTGTCCCAGAGAGGTCTTCGAAGGAGATCCTTGCACTTGGCATAAATAAATGTGGTAGTGAACTGAGTTTGCAACTCATTATGAGCAATTTCACAAGTAACATGCTGGTCATCCTCTTCAAGTATTTTGCAGTCAATATTTAAGTTCCAAAATAACCATATCTTACCGTTACAGTTGCTCATAGCATGATCCATAACAAGTTGGTGTCAAAATATTTGGACATGAGTACTGTCAGAGAATGGTTCCAGTATAGCTATAAGTGAAATATGATGCATATTCTTGAGCATTTTGAGTCTTTCCATAACCCCTTGGGTGTTAATCCCCCTTACATTCCATATAAGAGTACTGATCATTGGGAGGATTTGGAAATAAAGAGCCTGGTGTTAGGTCTGCCTGCAGTGGCAGAAATAAATTTTTGCCCTTTGGTATTTTTGAATCTGTCATAGTGAAGTCCCCTAGGTGATAATCCTTGTTGACTTGCTACCTGATGTATTTCCTCTTTTAGATCATTGGCATTGTGAGGACTAAAGGCTTTAATCAAGAGCTCAGTAGTCTCATCATCATCATCCTGATTTTGTATAGATTGATTATCTATATCTAGCTCATCCTCAGAATTCTCCACCTCATATTCATCAATATCTGGCACATAGTTTACCTTGCCTGCTGTAGCTCTGTCTGGAGGATCTTTGTGAGGGGGGGTAAGATACTGAGTTTGCAGGGGGGTAATATCCATACCCTGCATATCATCCACCATAATAAACTTCTTACAGTTGTTGTCCAGATTATTCTGTTCTTCCTGCTGGTTTTGCTCAGTTCCTTGCTGTGCATGTAATTTTTTCTTAGCTGCTTCCCTCCTCTTTTTACTAGGCTTATTCTTGCTCTTTGGGGTAGTTCCTTGTTTGCTAGTACTGGCTTTGGACCCCATATCTTTTGCCATAGCTGCCCCTCTTGGATTGTGATTCTCCCCTTTGCCAGCCAGTTGCTTGAAGTTATCAATCTCTGGTACTTCACTGGCCTGAGCAGTATGTTTCTTCTGCCCTTTTCTAGTATTGTTACCCTGTTGTTCATTTGTACATTTTGCAGATTCTGTCTGTTGCTGTAGTTTCTGTTGTTGCTGTGTGTTATGTTGTTGCACAGTAGTGGTTGCAGAGGCTCTAAGGTCTGGATTATGGTCAGTGTGTACCCCCTCATGCAAAACATGAGTCAAATTCCCCCCTTTGGATACCCCTTCCTACATGTTAGAAAGTTTCTCCTGACTACCCCCATCCATCCCTCCTTCAACTTCATCATTGCATTCAATAGACACATTATTAGGGTGTGTGGGGATTGGGAGCATTGAGTCAATACCTGTGCTCTTGCTATATTCCTTGTTGCCATTCTGTGTTACTTGTTTTGTTTGGTTAGGGCCTGTTACAGACCTGTTTTGTGTCTCTTGTGCTTGCACCCTTCCATTGCTGGTATGTTCCTCCTTTCCTTCATTATGAGCTTCCTGCATATTTAGATTAGTAAATGAATTATGGCTAGGATTATTTGATATACCTGTATGCTGAATTGCCATCCTTTTTTGTGGTGAAGTTGGTCTCCAAATTGTATTTTGGACTCTTTCTTCTGGTTGCTTGTTGTGTTTCCTTTTTTGTGTTTGCCATTCCTCCTCCCTTTGCTGTACAACTTGCCTTTGGGTGCTAGCCTCCTTGTTCCTTTGATTGTGCTCCTCTTCTTTTCCTTTTTCCTTGGCCTGGTTGTTGTCATTGCCATTTTTCAATTGTTCCCCTTTGTTTTTGTCCTTCTTTTCTGCCTCCAGCTCCTTTCTTTTTTTTAATTCCTCATCCCTTATTTTGAAGTTGCACTCATATACCATGTGCCCTTGGTGTTTGCAATATTCACAATATGGAGGAATACTTTCTTATTCAATGGTTTGCCACCTTCCAATGGTAAGGTCCTCCTCATCCAATCCAATCCATACATGCCTCGGTCTAGCCTTAGTTAGGTCCACCTGGACTTTCACTTTGGCCATGCTAGCTCTGGTTCTCTTAATGGAGGCTGTGTCAAGATAAAGAACCTTGCCTATAGGAGATAATAGTGGTGTTATAAATTCCTTTTTGAAACAATGCCATGGTAAGCCTGGGAGGAGTATCCATATAGGTACAATAGGTGTTTCTTCTTCTGGTGTGAAGTTTGGAGTCCAGGTCTGTATCCTCATGAGTTTACCCTCGATCGTCATCCTTTGTTGTGTCCAAACTGTATTATAATCCAACTCATTTTCCAAGTCAATAAATACATGTCGTGCATTCTAATGAGCTATATTGGCCCCCCTAGTCAGTTGAGTTTGTAGAATGAAGCTCTTTCTGATAAGTTCCATCTTAGGCATGGTACTACTAAATTTACCTATCAAGGTATATTTGCAATCCACAGCCAATTTTGTCATAAAGTCATCCATATTATAGATGATAGCAGGTAAGCCTTGTTTGGATGTGATTTTAGGAGGTACTAGTTCGATGGGATTTTCTTGTTGAGCTTGATTATGTCTAAGTCTCGCAGCCATGGTTTGAATCACTGTATAGGGGGCTGGTTCACTGTTCTGGTCCCTTTTGGTTTGCGAAGGGTTGCTAGGCGTGGTTTCATCATTGGGATGATTTGGATTATTGGTGTGCTGGCTTTTGTGAGTCTGGGGAACATGCTTTTCGAAGTTATTGGAAATTTTTGGGAAGGCATTGTGGTATTGCTCATCCTTTTGCTGAGTCTGAAAGTCTCTCCTTACCTGTTCCTGTGCAATTATACTACCTTCCTGGTGCCCCTTTGCATACAAATGGGCCTGATTTTCACTACTACCCTGAATTACATCAGTGTATTCAAGATTCAGATTAATGGATTTACCTGATTGATTCCCTTTTTTCGTTTGAACCATTGTCATGTGACTTGGTTTTGCTTCTCTGTTGTTCCTGCACTTGATTAATATCAATAGCATAACTCGAATTGAATTCCTTACCTGGTCGTTGCAGTATTCTCTTGCTGGGATTTGTATCCACAGCTTGGACTCTAAATGAGAATTGGGAAGAACTCTCCACATCAATTACTTCAACAGCTTTCTTCCTTGTGCTATCTAGATGTTCATTTTGACCCTGTCCTGTTCTCTGATCCTGTTCGTTGCCTTGTACTCCACTGTTTGTTGGATTCTTCCCCTGTAAAAATCATTTTTGGTCGTTCGATTCTTCATGGTTGTGTGGGGGGGACCCTTTGTGATTAGAATAATCACCATTGCCTTGTGCTGCATTTTTCGGCTGGTGAATGTGTGCTTGATGTGGTTGAAGATCACCCATTCTTGCTGGAGGTGCTTCTTGTACCTGTTCTTGAGTTAGATTAATGGTAATATTCGTAATAGGACTCGGCTTACCAGTAGAATTGCTTCCTTGAACCATGTCGCCGAGCAGTTCCTTGTTTAGTTCATCTCCACCACCGGAATCCTCACCGCCGGCGATTCGAGCATCCATTTTACTCGAGATTGCAGTGAGATGTACCTCTTCATCAGGGGAGTAATCCCCACTGCTCAAATCCCCTCGAATTTGTTGGGACGATGCTCGAATTTGAAGGCAGCGCTCCTGCGATTCGTTGGCGATTTGCCCAAAAATCGCGTCCTCAGATCTCACGATTGGGATGATAGAATCAATTGATTTTTTAGTATGTTGTAGCTCTTGATTAGGAGAATCATCCCCATTAACCAGCCTTTCATAAAACACATCATTAAGATATGTGGAAATATTTTTGCGAATCCCGTCTAATTCCCTCTCCGAAATCGCGATATTCATCGCTTCATTCATTCGCGAATTCACAGAGTTACTGATTGAATTAGAGGGCGATTGTGGATGGGTTTTGTTAGTCTGGTCCAGGCGCTCCTGGTAGGACTGGTCCGGCGGTCTGAAAGGTACCTCCGGCGGCTCACGTGCCATTGAGGCTAGGGAACTAGCCGTTGGGCTGTGTAGCCTTGTGCAGAACTTAGAGAGAAATTCATGAAGAGAGAGAAATTAGAGAGAGAGAAAATTTGGGTCTAGGATTTAGGGTTTAAGGTTTATGATTTATGGTTTAGGGTTTAGAGTTTAGGGTTTAGGGTTTAGGGTTTAGGGATTATGGTTGAGGGATTAGAGTTTGGGTTTAGGTTTAGGGTTTATGGTTTAGAATTTAAGAATTAGAGTTTACGGTTTAGAGATTAGGGTTTAGCATTTAGGTTTTATGTTTTAGGTTTTAGGGTTTACTAATTATAGTTTAGGGTTTAGGGTTTTGGATTAAGGGTTAGAGTTTGGGATTTAGGGTTTAAGTTCTAGGGATTTGGGTTTAGAGTTTAGGGCTTAGAGTTTAGGATTTAGGGTTTAGGGTTAAGCTTTTATGGTTTAGGGTTTAGGGTTACAAATTAGGGTTTATAGTTTACGATTTTTGTTTTAGGATTTATGGATTACAGTTTAGAATTTAGGATTTTGGGTTTAGAGTTTAGATTTAAGGTTCACAGTCTAGGGTTTACGGTTTGGGTTTTAAGGTTTAGGTTTAGTTTTTAAGGTTTAGGGTTTAGGTTTTTGGTTTTGGGTTTGGGATTTGAGTTTTAGGGTTTAGGGTTTAGAGTTTGGGTTTAGGGTTTGGGGTTTTAGGGTTTAGGGTTTAGGATTTAAAATTTATGGTTTAGGGTTTAATGTTTTGGGTTTTTGGTTAAATGTTTAAGGTTTAGCATTTACGGTTTTTCTTTTAGAGTTTATGGGTTTGGGTTATGGGTTTAGGATTTAGAGGTTAGGGTTTAGTTGTTAGGATTTAGGGATTATGGTTTAGAATTTAGGATTTTGGGTTTAGGGTTTACGGTTTAGAGTTTGTATTTAAGATTCAGGGTCTAGGGTTTACAATTTGGGGTTTAAAGTTTAGGAGGTGGATTTAGGGTTTAGAGTTTTTGGTTTAGGGTTTAGGATTTAGGGTTTTAGTGTTTAGGGTTTAGGATTTAGGATATAAAATTTATGGTTTAGGGTTAAGGTTTAGGGTTTTTGGTTAGTTGTTTAAGGTTTAGCGTTTACGGTTTAGCTTTTGGAGTTTAGGTGTTTGGCTTTATAGGTTTAGGATTTAGAGGTTAGGGTTTAGTTGTTAGGATTTAGGGTCTTAGGATTTAGGGATTAGTGTTTAGGGTTTAGGATTTAGGGTTAGGATTTGGGATTTAGGGTTTAGGGTTAAGGTTTAGGTTTTATGGTTTTGAGTTTAGGGTTTATAGGTTTAGGGTTTAGGGTTTAAGCTTTTGGCTTTTTGGTTGAGGGTTTAGGGTTTAGTACTTTACGTTTAAGGTTTGAGATTCAGGTTTTACGGTTTAAGGTTTAGGATTTAGAGTTTATGATTTAGTATTTAGGGTTTAGGGTTAGGATCTAGGTTATTATGGTTTAGGGTTTAGGGTTTAGGATTTAGCGTTTATAGTTTAGGGTTTAGGGTTTAGGGTTTAGTGTTTACGGTTTAGGATTTAGAGTTTATAGTTTAGAGTTTAAAGTTTAAAGTTTATGGTTTATGGTTTCGGGTGTAGGGTTTTGTGTTTAGGATTTACGGTTTAGGTTTAGGGTTTAGGATTAATGGTTTAGAGCTATGGTTTAAGGTTTAGGGCTAGGGTTCAGTGTTTACAGTTTAGGGTTTAGAGTTTATGGTTTTGGGTGTAGGGTTTTGAGTTAGGATTTACGGTGTAGGTTTAGGGCTTAGGATTAATGGTTTAGGGCTAGGGTTTAGGGTATAGGGTTTTTGATTTATGTATTAGGGTTTAGGGTTTATCGTTAAGGTTTAGGGTTTAGGGTAAAAGGGTTAGGGTTTAGAGTTTTGAGTTTAGAGTTGAGGTATTCAAGTTTAGCGTTTAGGGTTTATGTCTAGGGTTTAGAGTTTCGAGTTTAGGTATTCGGGTTTAGGGTTTAAGGTTTAGTATTTATGGTTTTAGGATTTTATGATTTTAGGATTTAGAGTTTTAGGGTTTAGGGTTTAGAGTTTGGAGTTTACGGTTTTGTATTTAGGCTTTAGAATTTAGGTTTTGGGGTTTAGAGTTTAAAGTTTAGGGTTAGGGTTTAGGCTTTATGGTTTTGGGTTTAGGGTTTATGGTTTATGGTTTATGGTTTATGGTTTATGGTTTATGGTTTATGGTTTATGGTTTATGGTTTATGGTTTATGGTTTATGGTTTATGGTTTATGGTTTATGGTTTATGGTTTATGGTTTATGGTTTATGGTTTATGGTTTATGGTTTATGGTTTATGGTTTATGGTTTATGGTTTATGGTTTATGGTTTATGGTTTATGGTTTATGGTTTATGGTTTATGGTTTATGGTTTATGGTTTATGGTTTATGGTTTATGGTTTATGGTTTATGGTTTATGGTTTATGGTTTATGGTTTATGGTTGGTCAAGAATTGAAGAATTAGATTTTAGGGTTTAGGGATTAGGCTTTAACATTTAGGTTTTAGGTTTTTGGGTTTACTGCTTATAGTTTAGGGTTTAGGATTAAGGGTTAGAGTTTGGGATTTAGGGTTTAAGTTTTAGGGTTTTGGGTTTATTTTTTTAGGTTAATGGTTTAGGGTTTAGGGTTACAAATTATGGTTTAGAGTTTACGATTTTTTGGTTTAGGATTTAGGGATTTTGGTTTAGAATTTAGGATTTTGGGTTTAGGGTTTAGGGTTTAGAGTTTGGATTTAATATTCAGGGTCTAGGGTTTACAGTTTGGGGTTTAAGGTTTAGGCTTAGGATTTAGGGTTTAGGGTTTAGGTTTTGGGTTTTGGGTTTAGGATTTTAGGTTTAGGGTTTAGGGTTTAGAGTTTGTGTTTAGGCTTTAGTATTTAGAATTTGAGGGTTTAGGGTTTAGGATTTATGATA